ATAACTTAGATGTAGGGGCTTCTTGTCCATCAGAATGCAAAAGACTATTGATCCATTACAATGCCTTCCTTGTAATCAAATATTCAATCAAATGATTTCAATTGAATTAGGACTTAGACTGGCCAGCTGATGTGATTAATATCAGCTACCACACCACCGAATTGCTTCATATGTCACTAATGTTTTCTTTGTGTTTAAGAGCCACCCAGCTCTTAAAACTTTATCTGAAACTACATTTGCCTAAGCTCAACTTGAATTTCTCAATTTCAATGTTTTAAGATTAAACTATTAAATAATCTAAGCTATAAGAAACTAATAAGATGAAAAGATGTTTTGCTTTTAAATATTGTTTGTTACTTAAATTACAATGTATATTTATATTGTTTGTTTTGTGACATAAATCTTTGTGTTTGTCTTTAAAGAGATATATTGCTTAGATGTTTCATTCAAAAATATAGAGCTCAAGGTTTGTGATAACATATTACTAAGAATTAACCCTAAAGCAAAATACATTCTAGATGATAAAACAATGTCTGTGAAGGACAATAATCCATTATTCTATAATTTCACATTTCAGGTTGATGATCTTGAATCATTTTAGTTTTAAGTATAATATCCTATTTTTATACTTAAGCATTTTGTACTTCAATAATAATTTTTAAAGTTAAAACAATGAAGCTAATAAGTTTAAAACAGCTGACAAATATCTCATATTGGTAATGTTGATTTAGAAAATTTGTAATACTATGGCATGTCTTTTTACCTCATTTAAATAGAAAACTTTTATAATTGTTTTGTTTATATGCGAATGAAACACAAATATCTTTGTGAGTTTTGAAATTCCTTTATTATTTGTGATATGGTTTTTTTTTTGAGATGGGGTCTTGCTATGTTGCCCAGGCTGGTCTTAAACCCCTAGATTCAGGTGATCCCACCATCTTAGCCACCTGAGTAGCTGGGACTACAGGTGCCCCCACTTCACCTGACTCTGTGACATTGTTAATTTAAAGTCATTTGTTAAATAGGCTTTCATTCATAATTTTATAATTGAACTACTTGTTTATGGTTTTATTAGTCCTATCCAAGTTTAGAAATTTATTCAGTGCCTGTCAATACAGTGACCATACTGTGAGTGATTCATTAATATCAAAACTGAGTTACTGGACTCAATCGATGGAAGAGATAAGACAACTAAATCATTACCATGCAACCCTTAAAAATCCAGATGTGTGGAGCTCTGTCATGGTAACTCTGACGCCTGACAGAATTCATTTCCTCTGAGCTTACAGTACTAATGGACTGCCCCACCCCCCACTGCCTATTAGTCTTCTGGTAAAGGATAGCCAAGTGGTAACTTTCAACTCTTTGACTTGATCTAGATGTCAACCAACTACCTACAAGTACTTTTCTGACAGGACAGCTAGGCTTTTATAAAATGTGTCTATTCACAGGGAAATGAACAGATCACAGCTTGGGTAGTGCTAACAGTAAAGGGTAGGCAGAAGAATGTAATTAAGGCAATTGTTTTAAGTTAGAAGCCCAAACAAAGCTGTATTTAGTAGCAGCCCTATCGAGGACATTACTGTTTTTATCAGACACAAAAAGTAAATTAATACTGAGGTATAATCGGTGATGACAGAAAAACAAAGGCTTGGTTTGAAAAAAAAAAAAAAAAAAGTCCCTTAACAAGAAGAGACCTGGAACACAGTTTTAAGATCCTGTGTTCTACAGGCAAAGATAAATGGGCTATACCTTGCTAAAACAGTAGCCGGGAGATAAGGTCAAACACAAAACTTCTGAAGGCCTCCTCAAGAGAGAGGAGCAGTCACTAAAGTTATTTCATTCTCATAAAGAGAAGACATTTTTCCTATGATATAATCAATCTTCTGGCACATGGCTTTCCCTTCTATTCTCAAATTGAATTTGTTTATATTATTTCCCTTTAGAATAGAATATTCTGTTCAATAGAATTATGATGAGGGCCTCATGATTTAAAATTTTTTAGTTGCTATTTTTAAAAAGTGAAAAGAAACAAGTGAAATTAATTTAAATAAGATATTTGATTTAGCCAACATATCAAAAAATCCAAAATATTACCATTTTAACATATGATCATTATAAAAATCGTTAATGTGTAGTTTACACTATTTTTTTTAATTACTCTCTAAAACCTGTATTTTATACTTGCAGAGCATCTCAATTTGAAGCAGCCACATAAGGCTCAGTAGCTCACGGCCACTGTATCGGACAGCACAGGTCCAGAGAAACTTTTTTCCTCAAAGACTTGATTCACATATTTTCTTCTTGAAATCTTTCCCCAGCATATTCTGAGGAAATATACAAACTATTTTTAAGTGTTAGTATTGGACAGCACGAACCTGAGCTTCTATGAAGTCCTTGCATACCGTTTGCTTAATATGGCATTAATCATTATTTTAAGCAAAAAGAGCACCTCTCAGTGGTCCAGCAATTTGAGTTCAGGTCTTCTAGCCAATACTTCTGCTTATTCAATTTGTTCGGTGTACTATAGACTGTTTCACTGGAGGATGTTTGGCTTAATTCCTCTAAAAGTTGAGGAACACACAGTAATAATCACATAATACAAAAAAGTTCCAGAATATGGGATTATTCTACACTTATAGTCTGTTGAGTGAAAAGTTATGAAATAAGATAAAAGCTGAGTGTTTCAGTGATTTATTTTCTATTTCATGTATCATAATTGTCCCAATGACATTGCTGATACAGTAGCAATGATCCTCAGATACATCTGGAATCTATCCCATGAGCAGCTGGCACTGACATACCAGTGACGAGGATGAGTCAATTATTCAGCGTATGCAGCACTACGTTATAAGGTGCTTTACAGGAGACACTGGGACTAACAGGTGTCAAGACGCTAGTACATTCACACAAGATAACAAATCAGAATGCGGCATGGTACATGTGGCAGGTGCTGTGGTTGTCATGGGAAGTACTCACTTTTTCTGATCATTCTGCTTCTTTTTGGTTTTGCATGCCACTGATGCATAGCAGGGAAGAAGCCACTTGTGTATAGTGGAAAAGTATATCAACTAATGAAACTGCATTTGACTGAGAAATAATTGCATCAGAGCTGTCACTGAATTAATTCTGTAATACTATCAACACAACAGGTGCATTAAATTTGATCAATCATAACTCTGTTTTCTGTTTCATAAGCTGGCCAGTATGCAACAAGAATATCAAATAAAGCATTCTATCATCTTCATGCAGTAAACGGTAACTAATACCTCAGAAACAGTTAATGCGACATTAGACAGGGATAAGAACTTGGTACAAACAAATGTTCTGAATATGAGAAAACGGAAATAATCACAATTTCTTTTCCAAATAAAAAATATTATTTTGCATTAAATTGTAAATGCAAGCTTAGGTTATAATGGTAATTTTGGCATGTGAAAAGATTACTGGAACGTACATAGCAATGCGTGATTCTGTGAAAAAAGAATGTTGGGTACTGGGGCCTGGCCTAGATTGTGATGTTTTGAGATGCCATGTCACAGTACAACTGTGTGGACTGCAAATTTGGTCAGGTCTTACCTACCGTTGTACGGTTCTGCCCTTCAGCAAGAACGTCCAGGAGTTCTCACCTCCCATAGCATTCACCTGAGAAAGTGTGGACTTAACATTTTGGATACGGGAGTCTACAAGGGTCTAACTCTGATAGACAGGAGATCAGCGTAAAACTGTATCTGTTTTCCTATGGATATTAAGTGAAGACTGAGGAATTTGGTAAATATCAAGCAAATTTCTTTCCAAAGATTACTATGTGTTATAGGGAAGAATCATCTCTTCTTTTGGGATAAAACAACTGAAAAGATGAAATTTATCCCAGAGTCCTGGGAATCTTTAATAACTTTAAAAATTATTTAATTTTGATGTTATATGTTATAATTTTTATAACGTACAACATAGTATTTAGAATAAAATAAAACCACATATGTTGGCAGCAGCTGGGGATGAGATCTGCTGATACTCTAAAAATAGGTTGCCATAATTTAGCTTTTGATATAAATGCCTCTAATGAGGACTGTGAATGGACATTTTTTGAATTCCAGGCATGTTCATATAATCGGAACTGAATGGAAAAAATGAAATGTTTAAAATAACAATCTAATCTAAATTATAAGATAAATGCAAGTAAAAATATTTTTCATTTGCGATTTTAAAACTGGTATTCCACGGAGTGGTGATGAGTACATCATTATACATATTTATGTAGATTTTACAGGATGTTTCAAAAGTCCCGGAGGACATATAGGATTTACAGTCTCAACAGCTTTGCATATAAATGCAGACTTTTTTTCTATACTTGTTATAATAAATGCTGAAAATGGCTCTCATGTGCTTATAATAGAGATGACAATTTTGTTTTCAAGGTCACTGAGTATAAGAGGGGTCACAAATGCCATTTTCTGCAATGGAGACTCAGGGACTTCTGGCCCACACCTGTAAATTAGTTATCCACATAAATATGTATAGACATATATGTAGTATGCATAGCCACAACATAAATATATTTAACATTTAAGAAAATTTAGATATTCTACTGGTAAACTGACATATGTATACAATATAACTTGTATTTATTCACAGGAATTTGGTTTTTTTTTTTTTGTTGTTCAAATGTACTGTTAGCTTGTTATTTCTTTCCCAAAGTTGTTAACAAGACTCCTTTATAAAGAAGCAACACGTTTTACTTGCACATACATTTTCTTTCTCTTTTGTCTTAACTAAAGTTGAGTAATAAAATTAATATTCACAAATAAATAACTAAATGGTGAATTTTTCTTTTTTTTTTTTTTTAGCAATTTTGGTTTTCATCTGTATAATTGTTTCATTGCAACTGTCTTTAAAAAAATTGGTTCAAGAGTTAAAGTTTTTTTTGCTAGTTAAAAATCACAATGTCTGATATATTAACATATGTCAGCTTCCTACAGGAATCCTATGGGTCTGCCCACCTGTGATGTCATAGTAAGGAGGGGCTTTTCTTCTGCAGACTCCTCCCTCGGTATCTCCTTCATCACCATGGCAACAGCCTTATCTGCCGCCCTAGAGCCTTTTCCCTATAACAGTGAAATCAACAATGACTTGTGTCAGGAGAGATCTTTATTATTTATTACAAGATATTCTAATGTTTAAAGAGCAATCCAACATAAAGGAAGAGGTAGGCTGCTGCAAGTGAATCTTGAGGCTTTTGGCTGAGGAGAAAACACACAAAATCTGAAAAAAGATGACTGAACTTTTAGTTAGCTACCTTTTCACCTTTACAGCTGACATATTACATTTAATTTTAACATAGCATTTTATATGTATAATATGTTTTGAGAAAATTAACATGACATGAACTTTTTTATAGTATCAATTTAAAAACACTATGGGTTGCCTGTTATGTTCATTTATAAATTATTCCTATATAATCCCTACATATTTTGACTGACAGGAGTTTGGGACAGAGATTAGAAGCAGGAACCAACTCCCACAGAGGGCTTTTGCTGGGTGATCTCTGGATCTTTGCCATTTTTGAGTGGACTGGGATAAAAAGAGTAAAAATGTTGTAAAATCTCTAAAAGGCCTTCAGTGGCTTGACACAGCAGGAATTCACCAGACCTGTTTTGTGGAGATGGCATAAACTTGATGAAAAAAATTTGCAACTTTTAATGTTTGTGAGACCAAATAATTTTAATAGAATTTTAGAAATGTCTTTTAACTGAAGAACCCCATAAATACAGATGCCGGTAAAGGCTAATTACTGCTGAGGCACTAATCTATATCTCTCTATGTATCTATAGATACATATGTATATGCATATATATAGATAATGCATACACATACATATCCCTATGTTATTTGTCTCAAAGGAGTAGGATTATAAACTGTAAAGGGATAGGCTGGTTTTCTGTTATTTGAGTTTACCAGGTTATTACATTTTTTGAGACTAGATATGATATAATGAGAAACACCCCCAAAAATATTACCTTTCCAACCCAATTTGAAAAATGTCATACTATGTAAAAATTAAATAATCCTTAAATGCTTCAAAAACAAAAACTTCAATTTTCTCAGGTCTCTTGGTAGAGCCTCCCTGAAGAAAATAATTTTATACTAAGAACACATATGAATAATTGTGTTGTAAATCTACTTAAAATACAAAGGTAGCAGACAGACCTGTCACAGGCAAAGAAACAAAAACGGACATATGGGGTCTAATGCTGGAAAAGGGAATTAAGAGCTGGGTTCCATATTAACTCAGAGGTTAATAAAGCTTGATTGTTCCCATGCAACAAAAAAGGATACAACGGCATCATTATCTTGTGTTTTCTAAGGCTTAAGTGTCTAGAAGGTAGGTTTACTCTAGGGATCAAGACATTGCCCATTTTCTCAGGCACTGACTTTCTAAAATGTAGCCAGAGGCAGCTTTTCTTTATTAAAACAAAGAAAAACTTTTTGTATAGTTAATAGATTTTTAATTGTGTTTTAAATGAATTTGTTTACAATGGTGAAAGTTTGTTCTTTGTTTTGCTTTGACTTTGTAACTAGCACTATTGAATTATAATGTGTTATTTCCAAGATGGACTATCAAATACTAGAGATTTCATTCAGCAGATATATCAGTAGTAATTTTCATACATGTATGTGTTCTGTAAAGTTTATATGGCCACAATTCATAGAATAACTGACTTCTGGAAGAATTAAGGAAAACTTGATTCATTGCATAACAAATTAGGTGCATAATGATTCCAGGTTTCTTCTTTAATGAAGCAATGTGAACTTCCTAAAATGGAGATGCAAACAATTCTGAATTCTGGGAAAATACTTATGATGGCACTATTAACATTTTATCAAAATATAAAAATTATTGGGATGAAACATTGCACGCTATAAGCTTAGTACATCTTTATAAGCTACACTCATTTATAGACTAAATATGATTTATACCAAATATTTTTGCAGCTTACTTTTTTCAAAAGAGCAAAGTCATTTGTGAAGAATTCTTTCCATGCTTCAGTAAGTTCTAATAATATAGCAATAAACAAAGTGGCATGCTTATATTTCAATTCCTATTATATTTAAAATAACAAATCTCATGTTACCAGATATAATTTTATTTAAGAAAATAATAATTTAGATTCTTTTCTTGGGCTAAGAAAAAATGTCAATTGATAAGCATCTCAAAAAATTTCAGGTCAATTTTTCTGTAAATGATTTATTTGAAATGCTACCAATCCATAAACTACATAGAGATTTTTTTTTTACATGTGCAACTATAAGAGCTAGAATTAGCAAGGGACATGCCATTTCACTAAAACAAAAACAAAAACAAAAACAAAACAAAAATCAGTCCTTTCATGCTGAACTCTAGAACAAAGCAGTGGTCAGCTGGAAAGGATGTACAATAAATACATGCGGTGCTTTGTATTTCTTGCAGAAAAAACCCACCAAAGCCAGGGTCAGGTCACTTTTTTGAAGACAGTGCCACTTTTTCTTCAAGGTTACACCTACTACCTGAAAAGAGTCACGACACACCCATGTTAGTGCCTGCCAGCAACGTTTTTCTTCACAGCCTTTTGGCTCTTGAGATAACACCCCATAAGCCTCAGCATCTTACAAGTGCGGTTCAGTCTGAGGACAGAACGGGAAGATGTGCCACAGTGACATCTCCATGGTACCAGATACAGTGCCTAAAACCACTGCTACATCAAGCGAGTACTCTCATGTGCAAGACTTCCCCAAACCAAACGCCTCCTCCACCTGGTACCTTAAAATCAAGCTGTGTTGTTTCTGGCTTGCCTACTTATCTCATGGGATAATGCTTCCAGAAGTCAGAAGCTGACTGATAATTGGCTTGGCAATTCATGAAACTTTACAAATTTGCTCATCAGCAGCTCTGCAGGGCTGATGGCAATATACCTGTGCAAATTTCTTTCTTTTTTGAAGACAGTAGCTTAAAACATTGTGAGATACATATGTAACTGTTCAGACTTCAAGCTCAATTTTAAAAACAGAACCACACCAAAGGGTCAGTTTTCATCTATTATGTGAGACAACATGAAGACAGCAAAAATAAAATATACACTGAATATGCATTCAAGCATATAAGCGTTTTATAAACATTCGATAACATTAAGTCTATATGCTTCTATGCCACTCAGCAACTATGGAACAGGACAGGGATATTTTAGAAGTTGATTATCACATTGTGACATCCTCCAGCAATGATTTCAGCCTATTTCTTCTCAAGTAATATTTCAAAATCACTTTTTCCCACTTCCTTGTTTAATTTCTTGAAATATTTTTGACTGGAAAAACAGTATCAGCATTAAGGGGAAACTTATTTTTTTCAAGGCTTTCCTGTGGAAAATTATTTGATATTTTTATTTCTTCTGTCATTTGTTTCTTCACTTAGGAAGGAGAATGACAGCTTTCCTAACAAGTAATAATTCTAGAAAATAATCTCTTTATTAAGTTCGATGATAAGAGCAGGCACAAATGAATGAAACGCAGGGCATCTAGCAGTGCCGTTCACATTTATTAAGAAATTAATCATGGTCCACTTCTTTCCTTTTTAAAATACAGAACATAAGAAACAGCATACACAATACGGGACATCACAGGATCCTCTCCGGCTGGACACCAGGCTGTGGAGCCACCGGCTGTCTTCAGATGACAAGGTGTCGGGCCTGTGTCACAGGGAAGGGGCTAAACTATTTCAAGAAGCCACCACATGCGGGGCACGCTGCCAAATGTTTGACATAATTTCATTCGTCTGATCTCATGATAACTCTGTGGGGTAGATATTATCTTCAATATGGTGGAAGGCACTGAAGCCCAGAGACGGTGTGATGTGGCCACAGCTTCAAAGCCATTCTGTGGCCGAGCCAGGACGGGGACCAGCCTGGCTTGCCAGGCTGTCCTGCTCTGTCTCTACCACACCGGTGTCTGTGCACATGACCTGGGGAGGCTGCAGGCCTCAACCGCCTGGGCTCATGTCAGTTCATGATCTCGCTGAAATTTGGGGCAGCAGCCACTTCTCACACAGACTGGCTCTAAGCACACATTCTCTGAGAGATTCCTTCTTTCTCTGGTCTGGAGCGGTCAGTAGCTGCACTCCTAAGCACATTTCTAACAAAATGCTTTCACTGCTTTCATCTCCACAGAAAAGTAACCTAAGTATTTCACATATGTACAAACTTCTTTGTTATTCTGTAGCTCTTAATAGGTTCATAAGCTTTAGCACCTCTCTAATTCTTATTAAATGCTAACTAAATGCTATTAAATGCCACCTTTACTAAGACTTTCCTGAGATCCATCGTGGTGCATAAAATACTTAAACTATGCAGTTCCAGTTACACGGGCCAATGGTAAGCAGTTTTCTAGTTGCAGATTCTATTACTGCTATCATGAAATTTGTAATTTAAAAATTACTTTCATTATTTTTAAACTATCAACAATTATCCAGAGTTTCTCTATCAGAGATAAAACAGATGAAATTGAGATATGTTAGATTAGAGGAAAAGTAAAAGACTGTAATACCAGACATCTCTGCCAACCCCAAATCATCTAACATACGAATTTTTAAAATAGCCTTCCTTTTGTACTGATTATAAAAAATAACATATTATTGCCAAAAATTGATAAAAAACAGAGCTAAGAAAATAAAAGTAACAATCTTAATATTTTCATGAATTAAAAAAAATTATTTTATAGTACCAGCAATTAATTTTTTAGGTTGAATGTTTTAAGGATAGATCTACTACTATAAAGTCTACAAGTATGAATATATTGAATATATTTCCTTATATATGCATACATGTAAACAAACTCCTGGTATATATTTTTGTTTGTTTGTTCTTGAGACAGTGTCTCGCTCTGTCACCCAGGCTGGAGTGCAGTGGTGTGATCTTGGTTCACTATAGCCTCAACCTCCTGGGCTCAAGTGATCCTCCCACCTCAGCCTCCTAAGCAGCTGAGACTACAGGTGTGTGCCACCACACTCTGCTAATTAAAACTATATATATATATATATATATATATTTTTTTTTTTTTAAGAAATGGAGACTCACTATGTTTCCTAGGCTGGTCTCAAACTCCTGGGCTCAAGCAATCTTCCTTCCCACCTTAGCCTCCCAAAGTTTTGGGATTACAGATGTGAGTCACTGTACCTGGCACAGTCGTCCGTTTTGCATATGCTAAAAAATTCTGGACCCTGGACGATTAGCACCTGCAAAAAAACTGCCCAGCAGAAGTGTCATTTTTGATGGCTGTTCTTGTCGCTCACGCACAGAAGCAGGATAACCTACCTGCTTTCCCTTGGTGAGCTAAATGTCAGAGTAAGTGTCAATTGTCATGCTCTTTTCAAACTCCCAACACAGGAAAAGGTCAGGGCCATATTTTACAGTGCCTTTCCCAGTAAAGAGTGCTCCTGTGGAATTCCTCCAGCACAGATCAGGGTTCAGGCCATCTTGGTTTATCTTAGCTATTTCCTTCTCAACAGAATGTTTTGTAAGTTTTAAAAGTGGTACCAATACCTAAATCTTGACATACCAGTCAATCCTTGTTTCTAAACATTCTGAAAGAAGCACAGATCTAGGTGTAAATCACTGGGAAGCATGGACAGAATGTGCTTTTCTTAAATAGAGATTCACCTGTGGAATTTACAGTCCACAATGAATTCACCATTGGTTCAGTGATCTGTTTGCAGCTGGAAAACGTGATTTACAATTCCTTCCTAAGGGTAGTCAAGTTGCAGCAAAGAAACTGGTGTCTATTTAAAATAATGACACAGGACATTGAAAAGAAAGACTTCGGACTGACCCTGTATTTCCCTCTTACTGTCTCTTTTTCCCTCCAGCATTGTTTTCTCCGTGAGACAGGTGCACATTTCTTCAGCCCTCATCTTTTGTAGGAAGTCTTCCGGGATTAATGAGGAGTTACACTAATTACATTCTGTTATGTAACTCCTGTACCTTCTGTTTATGTTATGTGTTAATTGGCACTATTTGTTTTACCGAGAATGTGATCAGGTTGGGAGAATGTGATGGGGTGGGGGAAGGGCCAGGTGGGAGAACAACATGGATACCAGTCTCCACAGTCTTTGACTCCAAGCCTCCACTTATGAACATTACTGGGACCCCACACCCACCAGATGCATGCTCACTTTCCTTGGTCTGAATGACTGGAGCAGCGTGAGATTATGACTTTCATCGGCCCTCGGCACTTCTGGCTTCATGAGATACTTCCTTTAAAAAATCACATTCTAGTGCTACATTGGTATAAAGACAAAAATAATCCAGACTGTATCTATTATTGCACATTAATTGTTAGAAAATAGTCCATTTTGGGGGGTTCTGATTTTAAGGGAGAGTGACGTTAAATCATTTTCATGGGTCCTTAAAAGCACTGTGGGACCTATGCACTGTGTCCACTCTGCCAAGTGGGTAAACTGGTCCTTCCCCTTTTGAGGGGGGCGTCTCCTTAATGGTCGGTGTGCCGTCCCGACGGCTGCCGTGCTGTCCCTGGCATGACCGTCCTGGCTGCTCGGGAGATCGATGCTGCTTCCACATTCTGCATGTCCATGATGGCTGTTCCTGCCCTAACAGCCCCCTGGCTCCTGCGGCTGGTCTCACTGTTTTTGTTAAGGGAGTCTTTCCTAACAGTGCTCACAGGTCTTTGAAAAAAGATGTTTCAAACTGACGAACAATAATTGCATGTGCTCAAACAAGCAGCTTTCATCTTGTCATTCTTAAAACACGCTCTCTAAAAGCCTGGAGCATCTAGACCCTAGGCAGAAAGCACTGGCAAGTAATATCCACGGTTACTCTTAAGATGTAACCTCTCCACCAGAAAACAGGCCTCGGCCTGCCTCAGAGTGGACTCCTGACCATCCAGGAGCACTTCTGAGGAAACTGAGTCAATCTATGTCCTTTTTTGTTGTTGTTAAAAATTTAGTCTATTAGTCTTTAATAACCAGAGTCACTGATTGGCTCCAAAGTACTTCTTGCCATTGTTTTTTCCTGATTATGCAGTTGGTCACTTGAGGAACAGACCTGTCCAATACCCACAATTTCTGAGCTGCGCCTATAGGCTAAGCTCCTCCTTGGGACCTTGTTATTATCTTGTATTTTGTAAACAATCCCGTGGCTGTGTCTCACTAATAAAACTGCCTGGTGAGAGCAAAGGTTGTGGGAATATCTTTTGAACCATTTCTGCCTTGTTGGGTATCATTCCCTGTGGGGGTACAAACACTCAAGTACACTCAACAAATATATGTCCTGGGTATCAAATTATTTCATCCTGCAATCACATACAGTATATGGCCAACTTTTACAGAAGGCGATTTTGACTTAGACGAAAAGTTTTAATTAGACTTTTAAGGAAATAAAATAGTTTCAAGCACCTAAATAAAAATTCATTACAAGTAGTAAGATGGTACCAGGTAAAGATGCTTACAACTTGCCCTGAAGGACAGAGGAGGCTTTATTTTTAATGAGTAAGATCCATTTGTC